TGGGGACACAATTCAATCCATGACAGAAGGACATTTTCTAATGATAAAAGGATCAATCCATCAAGAAAATCATAACAGCTGTAGACACATACGCACCTAACAATACAGCCCCAAAATATATAGATTAAGTGACAGAATTGAAGGGAGAAACAGACAGTTTAACAATAATAGTTGGAGATTTCAATGCTCCACTTTCAATAATGGATAGAAAAACTAGGCAGAAGGTCAGTAAGGAAATAGGGCCAGCTCTTTCTCTCACCACTGTTTGTTGGAGTTTGAGATTTTTGTAGCCGTTTCTGGGCTATAATTCTTTCCAGGCTATCTTGTAGCAGTTCGAAAGCCATGCGCATCACCTCTCTGGTCAGACAGAGATCGCGGAGAAGCTTCAAGCTGTGACTAGACCACCATGGGCCTACCATAGAAGCTTAACCCAACCTTGGCCCCTGAGTCTTTCCATATGCCCCCTGGAGAAAATTCTCAGGATGATTCTACTTCTCATCTTTTCTCCTCAGAAATGTTAATAAAGGACCTTAGTAACTTACCTCTTAACCCTGGTACCAAAACCCTTTCCCATCTTCCAGAACGTCCACTCCAAAAGCCTGATAGGAAAGATCTTACGGCAGATCAGAGATGGCCTTGCCTACAGGAGGAGTAGAATAAGGATGTTAAGTCAGCACAACAAGATAGTTGAAAGGATGGTAAAACTGAAGATACCTCTGCCTGTACCTCAACCAGTCTTGTCTACTTAAGAGAGAACTAGCAGGCGTTGGATGTGAAGGCATTCAGAATAGATCAAGAAATGAACCATTCGTATGTGGCTGTCTTTATTGCCTGAATCATAGATAGGATTCTCCTGAGAATGCTAGAATGGAGATAATTAAGACACAGTCAGTTTAGAACTAAACCTCATTCTAATATTGTTCTTTTTTTGCTAGTAATTTTGGGATTACTATGCAGCCCTGGTGGTGCAGTGGTTAAGAGCTTGGCTGCTAACCAAAAGGTCAGCAGTTTGAATCCACCAGGTGCTCCTTGGAAACCCTGTGGGGAGTTCTACTGTATGCTATAGGGTCACTGTGAGTCAGAATTGACTCAGTGGCAATGGGTTTGGTTTGTTTTTTTGGTTGTTTTTTTCTAATGCAGCAGGCTGGGGAAGCTACTCTGCTAGGGCAGGCTGCATACCAGTGATTTTTGGATAACCTGTAATGAGTTCTGCGGTGTGTTTTCTTTTTCCTTCTTGCATCTCTTTACTTCTTAACTCAGTAACAGTAAATTATAAGGAATCTATATAGTTTGAATGTCTTACTGACTTCAGTATACTTTATTCTTTAGTTTCACTTTTTGATATGACCCCATGAAGCACCAGTAGGTCTCAAGTATTGCCCGTGTGTTTTAGAAGCCTAAAGTCAGTGTCTTCTTTGGTGAAGTGCCTGTTCATATCCTTTGCCCATTTTTCAGTTGGGTTATTTGTCTTTTTGTTGAGGTTTTGCAGTATCTTGTAGATTTTACAGATCAGACGCTGATCGGATTTGTTGTAGCCAAAAATTTTTTCCCAGTCTGTAGGTTGTCTTTTTGCCCTTTTGGTGAAGTCTTTTGATGAGCATAAGTGTTTAATTTTTAGAAGCTCCCAGTTATCTAGTGTCTCTTCTGGTGTTTGTGAATTGTTACTTATGGTTTCTATTCTGTTTATGCCATGTATCAGGGCTCCCAGCGTTGTCCGTTTTTCCTTCCGTGATCTTTATCGTTTTAGATTTTATATATAGGTCTTTGATCAATTTTGAGTTAGTTTCTGTGCATGGTGTGAAGTATGGGTCTTGTTTCAATTTTTTGCAGACAGATATCCAGTTATGCCAGCACCATTAGTTAAAGAAACTGTCTTTTCCCCATTTAACAGACTTTGGGCCTTTGTCAAATATCAGCTGCTCATAGATGGATGAATTTCTGTCTGGATTCTCAGTTCTGTTCTATTGGTCTATGTATCTGTTGTTGTACCAGTACCAGGCTGTTTTGACTACCATGGCGGTGTAATAGGTTCTCAAATCAGGTAGTGTGATGCCTCCCACTTTATTCTTCTTGTTGAGTAATGCTTTACTTACCCTTCCTTTTCCTTTCCATGTGAAGTTGGTGATTTGTTTCTCCATCTCACTAAAAAATGCCATTGGAATTTGAGTCAGGATTGCATTGTACCTGTAGATAGCTTTGGGTAGAATTGACATTTTCACAATGTTGAGTCTTCCTATCCATGAGCAAGGTATGTTTTTCCACTTATGCAGGTCTCTTGTGGTTTCTTGCAGTAGTGTCTTGTAGTTTTCTTTGTGTAGCTCTTTTACGTCTCTGGTTAGGTTTGTTCCTAAGTATTTTATCTTCTTGGGGGCTATTGTAAATGATATTGATTTGGTGATTTCCTCTTGGACGTTCTCTTTGTTGGTGTAGAGGAATCCAACTGATTTTTGCATGTTTAGCGTGTATCCTGATAACTTTGCTGAAATCTTCTATTAGTTCTAGTAGTTTTCTTGTGGATTCTTTGGGGTTTTCTATGTGTAAGATTATATCATTTGCAAATAGAGATGCTTTTACGTCTTCCTTACCAATTTGGATGCCCTTTATTTCTTTTTCTAGCCTAATTGCTCTGTGTAGGACCTCCAGGACAGTGTCAAGTAAGAGTGGTGATAAAGGGCATCCTTGTCTGGTTCCTCTTCTCAAGGGGAATGCTTCCAGACTCCATTTAGGATGATGTTGGCTGTTGGGTTTGTATAAATGCCCTGAATTATGTTGAGTAATTTCCCTTCTATTCCTGTTTTGCTGAGAGTTTTTATCATGAATGGGTGTTGGACTTTGTCAAATGCCTTTTTTGCATCAATTGATAAGATCATGTGGTTCTTGTCTTTTGTTTTATTTACGTGATGGATTACATTGATTGTTTTTCTAATGTTGAACCATCCCTGCATACCTGGTATAAATCCCAGTTGGTCATGGTATAATATTTTTTTGATATGTTGAATTCTGTTGGCTAGAATTTTGTTGAAGATTTTTGCATCTATGTTCATGAGGGATATTGGTCTGTAATTTTCTTTTTTTGTGGTGTCTTCACCTGGCTTTGGTATCAGGGTTATGCTGGCTTCATACAATGAGTTTGGGAGTGTTCCATCCTTCTCTGTACTCTGAAATACCTTTAGTAGTAGTAGTGATGTTAACTCTACTCTGACAGTTTGGTAGAATTCTCCAGTGAAATCGTCCAGGCCAGGGCTTTTTTTTTGTTGGGAATGTTTTAATTATCTTTTCAATCTCTTCTTTTGTTATAGGTTTATTTAGTTGTTCTACCTCTGTTTGTGTTAGTTTAGGTAGGTAGTGTGTTTCTAGAAATTTGTCCATTTCCTCTAGGTTTTCTAATTTGTTAGAGTACAATTTTCCATAGTATTCTGTTATGATACTTTTAATTTCAGTTGAGTCTGTTGCGATACCACCCATCTCATTTCTTATTTAGGTTATTTGCTGCTTCTCCTGTTTTTCTTTTGTCAGTTTGGCCAGTGGTTTATCGATTTTGTTGCTCTTTTCAAAGAACCAGCTTTTGGTCTTGTTAACTCTTTCAATTGTTTTTCTATTCTCTATTTAATTCTGGTCTGATTTTTATTATTTGCTTTCTTCTGGTGCCTGAGGGCTTCTTTTGCTGCACTCTGTTTGTTCGAGTTGTAGGGTTAATGTTTGGATTTTGGCCCTGTCTTCTTTTTGGATGTGTGTGTTTATTGCTATAAATTGACCTCTGAGCACTGCTTTTGCTGTTCCCAAAGGTTCTGGTAGGATGTGTTTTCGTTCTCATTTGATTCTGTGAATTTCTTTATTCCGTCCTTAATTTCTTCTATAACCCAGTATTTTTTGAGCAAGGTGTTGTTCAGTTTCCTAAATTATTTTTTCTGTAATTAAGTTAAAAGTATTCATGTGAGAGAATTTTTTTTCTCTGACTTCATATAGGTAGACGATTTAAAAGTAAATCCACCATGCAAATGCATTTTTTAATAAAAATAGTAACTTCTTATAATACTGAAATAAAAATGTGGTTTTAATACTTAAGGTACAAGAGAATTGAACCTTTCATACTGTATATGATTTTCATATCTTTTCATATCTGTAGCAAATCTTACTTTGGTATCTGAATAATTGTAGCACTGTTTTTGCAGGAGAACCGATCCCACCTCGGACCTTGACTGAAGCTGGTACAATGGCTCTTTGCTATAGTGCTGCTTGGGATGCACGAGTTATCACTAGTGCTTGGTGGGTGTACCATCATCAGGTAATAAGGCTCTTAATTTATTAAGAGCTACAGTGTGCCAGTATTTGAGAGTATTGAAGTGAACATGGAAGACAAAGTACCTACCTTGATGGAGCTTTCATTTTGGTGGTGGTCACAAATACAGATACAGTATCAAGTAACAAGTATTGTAAAGGTAAAAAATGGGGTAAGGGCATAGAGAGTGATAGGGACTCCCATTTTAAATAAAAGTATCGGAGAAGGTGTCTCTGGGAAGGTAAGATTTGAGCAGAGATCTAAATGAAGGGAGAGAGTGATCCAAGCAGTCTGTGGGATAAAGAATGTTATAAGTATGACTGGTCTATTAATCTAAAAGGGCTTCTTCTGTTCATCGTTGTTGGAGTTTTCAGAATTCTCTTTGGCTTTTCAGGAAAGTAGGTGTATCCAGTGGTTTTTAAATTCATTTGTTTTGGGTAACTACCCTCCTTTGTGGTTAATGCTGTTTTATTTGATGATGGTGATTTCACAGTTCTATTGATTTCATGCTTTCAAGAATTATAATTGTTAATGATGTAGCTGTGTACTCACACAAGATCCTAAAACTATGCAGAAGAATAAGGAGGGTTCACTACCACTCTCCTCCCTTAGATTTAGTTCATTTCTATTTATAGTCATTGGTAACTGATGTACTGTGCTAGTTTTTAGGAAATTAATATCACTCTGGATTATAATATTTTCTGCCTGTGTACTGTTACAAAAGTGGTTTTAATTTTTAAATGTGAAAGTTTTTTTTTTTTCTTTTTTAAAATGAAATTTAGTATGCTTTTAGCCTCTCACTGTTAAGACAACTGTTTATCACTAATGAAGATATTCTCAGATCTGGGAGTTTCACAGATGCATTTAAAAGATTGTGGAATAAATTTGCCCACTTTCTGTTTTGCTAAATTAAAATACATTTTTAAAGTCTGTTATTAACTTTATTTCCTAAAATGAAAGGATAATACCAAAAAAAGGTATCTCAGAAAAGGATTTTATTTAATAAAAATATAGTATTTAAGTAAATATAGCTTTATGATGACTTATTAAACTATCCTTATTTTTCCCATTATATCTTATGGTGAAGACGACATGTAGACCAGCTTAGTTCTAGTCTTTGGAATCTGAAAATTATTGATGTGGTGGATCCGTCATTATTTCTTTCTTTGTTAACTGTCAGAAGTATATCTTATCACTGAAGGATATGTATCCCATCAGTATTAAAAGTTTCTGCTAAATTATATAAACTTTTCAGAACACAGTGCTTGCTGCTTGCTGGAATTTTACCTTTCTTTTTCCTTTTGAATGAAAAAACTGAGTCTTTCTCAAGACAAGAGTCTGATATATTCTTTTGTTACTCAGGTGTCCAAAACAGCACCAACTGGAGAATATTTGACAACAGGAAGCTTCATGATAAGAGGTAATGGCATGACATGAAAAATACCCCTAAATTTGTCAATAGATTTGGAGACAGGTTTGAGGAGCATCTACTAATATTCTTAGCATGGAAACTGATTACACTGGCTTTATATAAGCAGTCTCTTAGGAAATAAGGGAAGTTTTGCCTTTGTGTGGCCAATTTAATATTTGTTTAATATATTTTTATTGATGAAAATGTGCTTTCGCATAGTTTAAAGTTATACCGGTAAGAAAGCGTTGTTGTTGTGTGCTGTCAAGTCGATTCTGACTCATAGTGACCCCGTAGGACAGAGTAGAACTGCTCTCATAGTTTCCTAGGCTGTAAATCCTTACAGAAGCAGACTGCCACATCTTTGCCCCTCGAAGTGGCTGGTGGGTTTGAACCGCCAACCTTTCGGTTAACAGCCAGGCCCTTAACCACTGCACTACCAGGGCTCCTAAGAAAACATAGCCTGACCTTTTTTCCTTAAAATAGATTATTCATGGTTTAACCCAAAAGATGAGGGCAAACATGCATATATATTTTTTCTTCTCAGTTACTGTTCCTATATAGTGCCAGATTTTGTTAATGGGAAATGTTCCTTCATGATAGAGTAAAGGACAAAATCAGTGTGACCATTGGTGTCAGGTATTTTGCAAGCAAAAAACGGATGAAGCTGATTTTTAAAACATTTATATGTATTATCTTTTATAGGAAAAAAGAATTTTCTTCCTCCTTCATATCTAATGATGGGGTTTAGCTTCCTCTTTAAGGTACTTTTTAGCTTCTTGGTTGTTTTTTTCTTCTGATTTTCATTAGTCTTACATAAAGCTTCATCAGTGAAAAGAATTCTTTCTATAGGTAGATGAGTCCTGTGTTTGGAGACACCGGAGTGAACGAAAAGTCAGAGTGCAGGATGAAGATATGGAGACATTGGCAAGTTGCACAAGTGAGCTTATATCAGAAGAGATGGAACAACTAGGTATTTTATGAATTTTAATAAATTTGTTTGCAGTATTGTCTAGTTTTGCTTCTAAATCCTTCCTTAGAAGATCATGTCTCATTTGGGATAATTGAAATTTTAAAACAACACTTGGTGTCATGATTTACTGAGTTTTGTTTTTGGAAATATCATATATACTTATTCTAGTAAATTACAAAGTATTTAATTAGAGCCATGACTAATACACTTCAGTATACTATTTATATAATAAAACTTCAATGTTTAATAATGCATAAGTGTGCTTAACACATATAACCAAGAAAAAACCAAACCCATTGCCGTTGAGTTGATTCCAACTCATATAGACTCAAGTATATATGAGTTAGCATTTACTTTTGGGTTTAGGAATGAGAAGTGATGCAAAATTTAAAGACTTAATAATTTATTTGCTTCAAGTAAAGAGCAGGTGTGGTTGCTGAAGATTTTATTTACTTACCTAAAGGAACTTGGAGCCCTGGTGGAGCAGTGGTTGAGCATTTGGCTGCTAACCGAAAGGTTGGCAGTTCAGATCCACCAGCTGCTCCTTGAAAACCCTATGGGGCAGTTCTGCTCTGTCCTATAGAGTTACTATGAGTTGGAATCGACTCGACAGCAATGGAGTTTTAAAAGAACTAGGGAAATTAAGCCCTCTAAATTTGATTTTTGCAGTTATTCTCTCTCCTAGGGTTATTCCTTTTAGAGTAATACTGCATTCATTTATGACTGGTACTACAACATTCCATTTAATGAATGCTTATCATGTCCCTAGTACTGTCTGAAGTGCTTTATTTATATTATTTTTTATTTTGAGTCTCAGAATAGGTGATGACATCGCATTTTATAGGTGAGGCAGTTGAACTTAAGAAAAGTAACTTGCTCAGGGTCATCCAGGTGGTGAATGGTATAGCTCAGCTCTATGTCTCTATGGTTCTGAAGACTGTATTATTATTACTAGACAGTGTATTAATACTAGACAGGATTTTACTATTGTAAAAGTATGAGTACTTGCTAGTATTAATCTCATTTCAGTTCTCATGTGCAAATTATAATAAAAGTAGCTAATTTATAGAACTACTTTCATTGTCCTACTTTTTGAAAATACCTAATGAAGGCGAGTTATGGTTTTCATTGCAGAAATAGTTGCAGTGTCTTAAGAAATTTATTATGATAAAGGATCTTAGAGATCATTTTGTCCAACATATTATTCATGATACAGATTATTCTTTATTCTAAGAGTACCCTTTAGAGACGATTAGGCGTTTTTCTGGTGATCTTTTGGGGAAATAGTAGTATAATATTTTTTGATGTTTTCAAGGAAATCATCTAGTTTTGCTGTGGCAGTCCCACTCTGACTTTGCTTATGGTGATTCTGCAGATGGAGGTGACAGTAGCAGTGAAGAGGGTAAAGACGAATTACATGAAACTCCTGTAGAAATAGAACTCATGACTCAGATTGACCAAGAGGGCATTACTGTTCAGAGTGGTGGAGATGAGCTAAATGAGGACCTGATTCAGGAGGAAAGTTCTGAGGATGAAGGAGAATCTGAAGAAGTGGTAAAAGATGAGGAGCTGGTTGGTGAAATGAAGGATGAAGAGGAAGAGATATTAAATTATCCTGATACTACCATTGACTTGTCGCATCTTCAATCCCAAAGGTAATTAAAAGCCGTATTGGGAATGATGATGAGTTAACCCTTACAAAGTTAATACCAAGATTGACTTTACCTTCCATTATCCTATGGTCGTCTTATTTTCCCACCATTTGATTCAGGGGGTAAATGTCTCTAAAGATATTCCAAGGACTCAGGACAGAAAAATATAGTAAATTTAAAGTGGCCAACCTAGGTCAAAGTAGAAACAAGTAAATGGTTATGAATACTAATAATAAAGGTAACTCCATTAAAAAATTAAGGTGTTTTAGCCTTAAATGTCTACTGATCGCCAAGTGAGAAATACTCTAGTTATAAAAGCATTATCACTGGGGTTGTTAAGAACGGCTTAGGAGTCAAACACCAGAACTGAGTCCTAGTCTATGTCTTTGGGCAAGTTATTCTATCACCTAACCTTCAGTTTTCCTTCTTGGTTAAAATGAAGTAGTGCCCCCTGCGTAGAGTTTTAATGAAGTTTAAATGCGTGTAAAGCATGTCGTAGTGCCTGGCACATGATAAGTGTTCAGTACATGTCAGCTACTTAAGAATGTGTGTGTATAAGTATGAAGATGAGCAATTTGATTACATTTTTTCTAATTTTACCAAATTTCAAAATTTATAGGATTGCCTATAATTAAGAGTATGATATGGGAATGTTTTGAGACTTTATGAATGCCTTTTATAATGGCTAGCAAACTCCTCTTTCTGCTTGTTTTCATAGGTCCCTCCAGAAATTGGCTTCAAAAGAGGAATCTTCTAATTTGGTAAGCTGTTCTCAAAGTTTTATGAAAACTATTCTCAATTAAAAGAGTAATTTTCTACTTTTTAATTTTACTTGAAATTTTGAAAAATTAAAATTGAAAACTTTTAATTGAAAAATTAATCGTAGTGATGTTGTTGTTTATATTTGCTTGTTTTTTGTTTCAATTTTAATAGAGTGACAGCAAATTACAGAGCCGGAGACATTTGTCAGCCAAAGAAAGAAGGTAAACATATTTGAGTTATCTAACCAAAAACGATGTAATTTTTTTTTTTAAGTGACAACCCTACTGTGACAGAGCACTTGACTGTTCTAAAGACATACTGTATTAAAATTATCAAGATTTAACTTTTCTATTATAGGACCCTAGTCTGTCACTATGATCAGTGAGATAGGTCTGGTAACACAAGTTAAATCTGCATTACATGAATATGTACAGTAATGATGATAGTGTTTTAAATAGACAGGCTGGTTCTAGGATAATGACAGGAACAAACAGGATTGCTTGAAATTAATTAGGAAAGGTTTATGTAAGAGAGACTTTTTTTTTTTAAATAGCAGGTCTCAGGAGGCAAGTAGAAAGACGGGCAGGAGGAAGGGGACATCTGGGACAGCTGCTGTAGGACGGGAAGGACTAGGAATAGTGAAGCATTCCAGGAAGTGGCCCTAGACTAGAATGGACAGTAAGGCCCTTTTGTTTGAGAAAAATAATTATTAAACATTTATAGAGAACTCTGTGAGTACATGGCACTGTGCTAGATACTAATTGTACAAAGAGGTAAAATATAAAGTCCATGTCTTTAAGAAGCTTTTGAGTCCTGTTTTCAGACAATAGCCATAAACACGCAAATAGTTTTGTCGGAAAGTGATACAGTCATTGAAGAGTGAAAGATTTCTGTGAGTTGAGGTGTTTGAGGAAATAACCATCAGAAGTATACCTTGAACATACATTAGCACTTAGGTAAATTAAGATAAGGAGGACAGGAACTCTAAGGAGGATTAGCATGAACAAAGTGGGGGTTGGAAGTAATGTGAACAGTATTTTGGGAAATGATAGACTGAAGTGAAAGGGGCAGAAAGTTCATATTTGTGAACTGGTAGATGATAAGATTGGATAAGTGACTGTGGACCAAAATTGGAGAACTTTGAATGACAAGATAAGGATTTTGGACTTAATCCTGAAAGTAATTTGAGGAGGACCTTGGAAAAATTTTGAAGGGAATGTGACAAAAGGTAAACAGTTAAGGAAGATCAATATAGAAGTGTATGCACAACAGGACTCTCCCTGGGTGGTGCAAATGGTTAAGCACTGGACTACTAAGTGAAAGATTGGCTGTTTGAACCCACTCAGAGGTGCCTTGGAAGAAAGTCCTGGCAATCTGCTTCCAAAAGTTCACAGTCTTGAAAACCATAGGAGCACAGTTCTACTCCGCAACACATGGGGTCACCATGAGTTTGAATCGACTTGATGTCAACTGGTTTGGTTCGTTCTTGGTATATAGAACAGGTTACAGGAGGAACACTGGAGGAAGTCTGGGTAGGAGGTGATGAGGACTTGATTAGGGCAGTGGCATTGAGAATAGAGGTTGCACATGAAAAGTATAAATGAAATTAGGGAGGAGGGGAAATTCTATTGATCTCTGTCTTTTTTTAATTCATTTATTCACTCAACCAACCAATCAACAAATGTGTTGTTGAATGCCTACAATCTACAAGGCCGTGTTAATACAAAGACCACAAATCCCAGTCGCTGGCCATCAGGGTGTTTAGGGACTGAATATGGCTAGTGAGTAAGGATAAGTCAAGGGTGGCAGGGTGTTTATCCTGGATGACAGAATGATAAATCCATGAGAGATGAAATTTTTTTAGCTTATTCCTGTATGATGAGTTGAGTGATAGTCAAGTTAAGGAGAGAAGCCGCGTTCTTTTACATATTTTACATGTAATATTTTTTTAGGAAACTAAGCATTTGAAATTCTGAGAATTATACATGTTTCTGTTCCATTTCTTTATAGGGAAATGAAGAAGAAAAAGCTTCCAAATGATTCAGGGGATTTAGAAGAGATAGAGGGAAAGGACAAAGAAAAAGAAAGTGCCCTGCACAGTGAGACTCATCAGAACACAAGCAAAAATTTTCCAGCTGGGCAGCCAGTGAAGCGAGGACAAAAGGTATAGGGTTTAATAAGCTTTGACTTGAACTGTTAAAGTTAGTAAAATGTGGTTCACAAATGAAGTTGTGAGGTTCCTCTTACCTTCTTAAAGTTCAGGTGAAACAGGAAATGAAGACAAAAAATAAGACTTGTGTGACTTCTTTGAAAATTAGCTGAAAATATACAATGTTTAAGGAACGTAGAAATGGCTCTTACATACAGTAAAACCTGCGAAAGCTGGAAGCTGTGTAAGGTGGAAACCTATCAGAGAAGGAAGACTCAAATATTTTCTACTAAAATGAGTGATAGAAAAGTGGTAAGACCACACTCTGCCAAAGGCAGAAAACTTGTGAGACCCAGAAAAACAAGGCAGTCGTTGTGCTTCAGCTTTCACAGGTTTTACTGTATTCCTTAGACTTTTAAGATCATCTAGACAGAAGCACTAATTTTATGTAGAAAAGGAATAGGAGGTTGTGATTTACCAAAGTCACCCAGCTGGAGAGTGGCAGAGCTGGAATATTTCTAGGCCTTTATTGCTAGTTTCTACCACCCGTCTGTCAGTTTGTCATACTGTGGTGGCTTGTGTATTTCTGTGATGCTGGAAGCTATACCACCAGTATTTAAAATACCAGCAGGGTCAACCATAGTGGACAGATTTCAGCAGAGCTTCCAGGCTAAGACAGACTAGGAAGAAAGACTTGGCAATGTACTTCTGAAAATTAGCCAGTGAAAATCTAATGGATCACAAGAAAACTGTCCAACTCATTGTCTTTGGACAAGTCATCAAGAGGGATCAGTTGCTAGAGGAGAACATCATGTTTGGTGAAATAGAGGGCCAGCTAGGGCAAGGGAGACCCTTGGTGAGAGGAACTGGCTTAATAGCTGCAACTGTGGACTCAAACATGCTGGCAATTGTGAGGATGATGCAGGACTCTGCAACATTTCATTCTTTTGTACATAAGGTCGTTTCGTTCTGTTGTGTATAAGGTCGCTGTAAGTCGGAATCGACTTGACAACAGCTAACAACAATTGCTAATTTAGAAGTTTGTTTTTCAGTTATTAATGCGGTTTTGGTCAGAGTTCTTAAGTAGTTTATTAAAGGTGGGTTATGAAGGAAGAGGTAGTGGGTATAGAATATACTTTTATATAATGCAGTGTAGGTAGGGAATTGTAGGCTAATATGTCAGTGTATCTTTTTTTTCTAATTAAAATATTTTATTGTGTTTCTGTGATAGTTCACACAGCAAATTAGGTTTACATTTTTTAGTGTTTGTCAGTTTTCTCGTTATTTCCATTCTTGTTGTTCCATTTCCAGTAATCTAATTTCCCCACCCCCTTGCCTTATCGTCTTTGCTTTTGAGTAAATGTTGACCATTTGATCTTACATAGCTGATTTTTTAAAGGAGGACAGTATTCACAGATGATGTTTATTTTATGAGCCCGTCTTTGTTTAGCTAAAGGTGACCTCGTGGAAGAGTTTTGGTTCAAGGTTTAAATAGTATCTCAGAGCTATAGTTTTAGGGAGTCCTCTAGTCTCAACTGGTCCAGTAAGTCTGGACTTTTTTAAGAACTTGAGTTCTGCTCCACATTTTGCTCCCATTCTATCAGGATCCGTCTGTTGTGTTCCTGATCAGAATTGTTGGTATTAGTACGTGGGCACCATCTAATTTTTCTGGTCTCAGGGTAGATGTGGTCTGGTTCATGTAGACTGTTAGTCTTGTGAACTGATTCTTCTCTGAGTCTTTGGTTTCCTTCCTTCTCTTTTACTCTGAATGCATAGAGACCAGTAGTTGTATCTTAGATTCACTATCTTTTTAAGTTAAATTCCCTTGAAGTCTTACAAAGATTATTTTATGATCTTTCTTCTATCCATAGTGGTCAGAATTTCCTGTGCTTTTTTCTAGTGAGCCTCAGAAAAATGGAGGGACATGTTATACATATGGAAGGAAGATTCAATATAATAAAACTATAAATTCATATTAATATATAAATTCAACGTTTCAATCAGAATTAAGTGAGATTTTAATTAACTTGGTAAAATAATTCTGAAATTCCTTTGAAAGAGTTAATTCTAGAGAATAGCCAAGAAAATCTTGAAAAAGATTAATAAGGAGGAATTTCCCTATGAGGTAATAATGCATTTAATATTAGATTTATTAAATGAGTATGGTATTAGCACAGGATGATAATTACTGGTGATTGAAATGCAAGAGTTGGAAACAAGAAGGATTGGGAGTTGGAAAATACGGCCGTGGCGATAGAAACGGCACTGAAGATCACATGATAGAAGTTTGCAAGACCAGCGACTTCATTGCAAATACCTTTTTTCAACAACATAAACGGTGAATGTACACGTGGACCTTGCTGGATGGAATACATGGGAATCAAATCTACTACATCTGGGGAAAGAGACGATGAAAAAGCTCAATATCATCAGTCACAACAAGGCCAGGGGCCAACTGCGGAACAGACCATCAATTGCTCATATGCAAGTTCAAGTTGAAGCTGAAGAAAATTAGAACAAGTCCATGAGAACTAAAGTACGACCTTGTGTATATCCCACTGAATTTAGAGACCATCTCCAGAATAGATTTGATGTATTGAACACTTATGACTGAAAACCAGATGAGTTGTGGGATGACATCAAGGACATCATACATGAAGATAGCAAGAGGTCATTAAAAAGATAGGAAAGAAAGAAAAGACCAAAATGGATGTCCGAAGAGACTCGAAAACTTGTTTTGAACGTTGAGTAGCTATAACAAATGTAAGAAATGATGAAGTCAAAGAACTGAACAGAACATTTCAAAGGGCAGCTTGAGAAGACAAAGTAAAGTATTATGATGACATGTGCAAAGACCTGGAGTTAGAAAACCAAAAGGGAAGAACTCACTTGGCATTTCTCAAGCTGAAAGAACTGAAGAAAAAATTCAAGCCTCGAGTTGCAATACTGAAGGATTCTGTGGGCAAAATACCAAATGATGCAGGAAGCATCAAAAGAAGATGGGAAGGAATACACGGAGTCACTGTACCAAAAAGAATTAGTCAATGTTCAAACATTTCAGGAGGTAGCATATAATCAAGAACTGATGGTACTGAAGAAGTCCAAGCTACACTGAAGACATTGCTGAAAAACAAAGTGTCCAGGAATTGACAGAATACCAATTGAGATGTTTCAATAAACGGATGCAGTGCTGGAAGTGCTCACTTGTCTTTGGCAAGAAATTTGCAAGACAGCTTCCTGGCCAACCGACTGGAAGAGATCCATATTTCTACGTATTCTTAAGAAAGGTGATCCAACCAAATGTGAAATTATCGAATAAGATCATTAGTATAACAGATGAGTAAAATTTTGCTGAAGATCATTCAAAAGTGGTTGTAGCAGTACATGAGCTGGAAACTGCCAGAAATTCAAGCTGGATTCAGAAGAGGATGTGGAATGAGGGATATCATTGCTGATGTCAGATGGATCCTAGCTGAAAGCAGAGAATACCAGAAAGATGTTTACCTGTGTTTTATTGACTATGCAAAGACATTCAACTATGTGGATCATAACAAATTATGAATAACATTGTGAAGAATGGGAATTCAAAAACATTTAATTGTGCTCGTGAGGAACCTGTACATAGATCAAGAGGCAGTTGTTGGACAGAACAAGGGGATATTGTGTCGTTTAAAGTCAGGAAAGGTGTGCGTCAAGGTTTGTATCGTTTCACCATATTTATTCAATCTGTATGCTGAGCAAATAATCCGAGAAGCTGGACTATATGAAGAACACAGCGTCAAGATTAGAGGAAGACTCATTAACAACCTGCATTTATACTGATGACACACCCTTGCTTGCTGAAAGTGAAGAGGACTTGAAGCACTTACTGATGAAGATCAAAGACTACAGCCTTCAGTATGGATTATACCTCAACATAAAGAAAACAGAAATCCTCACAACTGGACCAGTAAGCAACATCATGATAAATGGAGAAAAGATTGACGTTGTCAAGGATTTCATTTTACTTGGATCCACAATCAACACCCATGGAAGCAGCAGTCAAGAAATCAAAAGACGCATTGCACTGGGCAAATGTGCTGCAAAACACTTCTTTAAAGTGTTCGAAAGCAAAGATGTAACTTTGAGGATTAAGGTGCACCTGACCTAAGCCTTGGTGTTTTCAGTTGCCTCAGATGCATGTGAAAGCTGGATGATGAATAAGGAAGACCAAAGAAGAATTGACTCTTTTGAGTTGTGGTGTTGGCCAAGAATATTGAATGTACCATGGACTGCCCAAAGAAAGAACAAATCTTTCTTAGAAGAAGTACAGCCAGAATGCTCCTTAGAAGCAAGGATGGCGAGACTTCATCTCACATACTTTGGGCATGTTATCAGGAGGGACCAGTCCCTGGAGAACGACATCATGCTAGGTAAAGCGGAGGGTCAGTAAAAAAGACGACGACCCTCAACGAGATGGATTGGCACAGTGGCTGCCACAATGGGCTCAAGCATAACAGTGATTGGAGGATGGTACAGGACCAGGCAGTGTTTAGTAGTGTTGTATGTAGGGTCGCTATGAGTCGGAACCAAGTCAATGGCACCTAACAACACAGTCAGAAAAGAGAAACAATAAAATTCAGACCTAGGACCATTAACCGTATATTTTAAGAATTTAGTATGTCATAAAATATTGTAGATCATTTGGGAAGATGTGAAATATTCAATAATTAGTGGCTAATTATGTGAAAATAATACCAAAGTAAATTCTGCATGGGTAGAAGAACCATAAATAAAATTGAAAGGCAAATAGCAAATCTGAAAAAAAGTAATGTCGACAGTGAAAGGGGGAGTTTTTTTCATGCATCAAATAGTAGATACTACATGTTAATCATTCAGTAGATGTTTGCATGTACACCATGGGGATTCCCATCAATGAGTCTAGCCTCTGACTTAGCAATTCCACTTCTAGGAATTTATCCTAAAAAAAAAAAATCGTGGGTACACACAAAGGATATTCATCAAGTTGATATTTG